CTGAAGATGCACTAAAGCCTTTTTATATTCCCAATTTCGTAGTTGTATGGAATCCCGAAACGCTTGCCAACCCTCTGCAATGAGAGAAATAAAACTTAAATTTTTGAACAAACTGTACATGGTAAACGGCCTGATCACCGCTTGTGGGAACTTGTTTAATATTAAATATCTTAATATTTTAATCAGTACACTAGGGTGGAACGAAAAATAAGTGGGCAGTTAAAAAAAAAATTTTTTTATAATCTACCAATTTTACCCTTAGGCTAAGCAAAAAAAAAATTTTTTTTCGCTCCAACCTAATGTACACTCATACAAAATCTCAATGTTACTGCCCAACAAGTGAAATAATGAAGCAGCAGCTACGGTTTGGATTCTTGGACTAAAACTCGCCTGGTGATTTTTACCATGGAAAAATAATTGAATATAATAATGAACCGCTGTTAATGACGGTAACATCGAAAAATGTTAATGAAACAGTGCTTCGAAATCGTCGTTTTGGCATCGGAGAGATAGCATAGTATCTTAACTTTTCTTATGGAACGACTCAACAAGACAATACCTGAATCTTTTGTAAAAAATGACGTCGAATAGAGGTCGCATAAGAGATGCTCGACAACATAGCTGATGACCCTACATTCATTAAGGGGTTAGGGGTAGTCAGAGGCACGAAAAAATTAGAATTTTCAGTAATTTTTTTTTGCTATTAAATCATGTTATTTCACAAAAGTAGTAATATGGTATTATTACTGTATACAATGTTTTGACTTGAGTCACGAAAATTTCAAAAAAAAAAATTTTAATTTCCAAAGTTATTGCTATCTGTGTTGACCAAGTTCCAAAAAAAGGTTCTTGCGGTGACAGGTCCTTGGAGATTCATCTAAAATTAATCGGATAAAAAAAATTAGTTTTATAAATAGATAATCCTGGGCCTGATCGAAGCATTTTTTTTTTTTAATTAACAAAATGGCGGCCTCAAGAAATATTTTTTTAGATTTTTGGGAAAAAATCAACAGTTATTTGGTCTTAAAACAATCCTTTGATCAGGCCCGAGTTTATTATATTATATATTCTAAAAGCTGTATAAATTTCATTCAGATCTACTGAGCGGTTTTCGAGTTACAGTTGTCACCAGTTCAAAAAACATAGTTTTGAGAAAAACGCATTTAAAGTTTCACACTAGAGCTCTCGAGCGCTTTGAAGTGCCCGAGCGCGCTTTGTTATTTGTCGAATAACTCAAAAAGTAATTATCGGATCAACTTGAAATTTTCACAGAATATTTTCAAGATATTACACTTGACGAAAAGTTAAGTGACGATATGTGGGTTTATGAATATTACGTCAAAACTGTCCAACAATCGAGAGAATGGTGCCGAAACCGAATAAGAAACAAGTAATGAAGAGCTAAGTTCGGATGTAACCGAACATTTTATACTCTCGCAAAGTCAAATGGTACACTCGTTTTAGATTTCTTTGTGGAACTTGCCGCCTTGTTCTATGTTGACCGATATTTCCGGTAAAAAGTCAACTATAGGCACTGGGGTCCACATATTCAGTACCTAGGGGCTTGAACAGTTTTGGTTCAATTTAGATAATTTTTGGTCACAAGGTGGCATACTTTAAACGTATTATTCACGCAAGGTTTTACGCCGATGTAATCATTGTTGCTTGATTTTCATAGTGTAGAATGAAAAAATCCGATGGAATTCCAAATAATGTTATATGGGAAATAGGCGTGGTTGTAATCCGATTTCGCCCATTTTCATACAATAACATAGAAATATGAGAAGAATATTATGTACCGAATTTGGTTGAAATTTCAACTCGTCTCTTCATCATGATCATTTATATATGCATAACCCTATATCTAACTCGATTAGTTTTAGGTGATACAAACAACTATTATACTCTGTAGCAACAAGTTGCGAGAGTATAAAAATTCGATGAAGGTCATCCCAACCGAGGCTTATAACAAAGAACCTATTTTGAAGACAATGTTGTTTTCTTTTAAGTCCGGGTCAAACGACCACAAATTAGATGCTTGGAAAAAAATGTTGGCTTTTTAATCCAGATACAATGCACTTTTACGGACAATGGCTCAACAAACACTCCATTTTTGGAATGACCTTGATTTATATCTTGAAATAGATGTAAACTTAAAAAGCATTAGCAGAAATATAACACTGTATTTTCAATGTGACATCTATAAAACACTGAAGGAATTATGATATTTTTAAGCGAACAATTCTGCCATAAGTTCTGTTACAAGCCCTGACCGTTATAAAAATTAAATTATAATACATTTTTCAAAATTGTATTCCAAATTGTCACCTTTTACTTTTACACAAGCCCTTTGGCTATTGATAAATAGCAGCACACGAAGTTTCTATTGATATTGACGACGCTGCTCGAACCAAAGATTTTTTGAGATCAAATTTCTGAATTTATATGGGGTATTCGATGGGTCATGTTCTCCTAAACTCTGACCACAAACTGTAGTCCAATGGATATAAACGTTGACTTCTAGACGTGCTGGAGCAGAATCTTGCTCGAAAATCGAATGCGATCCATCGAAAAGAGCATTGCTTAACTGTTTTTCTACGTCTTCTAAAACATGCTGTTGGTAAACTTTTTTCCTAGTTTTAACCACTTTTTCACAGAAGAGAAGTCGTGTAACGTCTTTACAGGAGACTCCTCAACAAACCATTACAGCAGCTGGATGATGACCACTTTGAACCTTTCTATTAAGATTAATGCGTCTTTGGAAGTTTTTGCGTAATTTTTTTATTAACTTCGTCAACGGTGGAAACCCACAAAAGAAACGGCTTGCATCTATTGAGTCTAATTTGCTTCAAGTGCGTTGTCAGAAGATGACCAGTTGACCGGCAGTGGGTTTTCGTCTAGAGATCATCTCAAAACAGTCTAGACATAGATCTGGTCGATATATCTATGTCCCTTCACATAATTTTCTGCTTTCTAAGATGATTTTTGCGAATGGGTCCGCGTAGAGTTTTTATAGTTTAATTTGTTCGAACCACACGAGGACGACCACTTTTTTTTCTATAATCAACTGCAGACGTTTGGGAAAACTATCAACATTTCCGAAGTATAAAGTTTTTTGAGAAGCCTTTGTATGTCAAGTAACATAAGAACCGCAAAACGATATTCTTTAGCTCCCCACTGAACTGTTTATTCTATATGATTAGATACCGCATACAAATTATAATAAAAAAATAACGACACTTTCCTCTGCGAATTTGTCCTCGCTACATGCATAGTAAACTTTGTAACAGAATTTGTGGCAAGCTTTTGGCACTTTGAAGTAGTCTTTAATTCATATAGCGACATTGACGATTTTACGATACGGAGTCGAAATAAAATGTTAGTAGCTTTAGAACGTTTTAAGAAGATCCCAAGATATGTTTAGTCGTTATAAGATATTAAGAAAAAGTGACAAAAGCAGATCGAAAATTTCTATGACTGGAATTGTGAATTAAGAAACAGTTTGCTGTCTCGGAGCAGAAAATTTCGAGAAGTTTTGAATTGTTGTTAAACTTAATACACCGATATCAAATTCCATTTAAAAATAATTTAATAAGAGCTGTTCCGGCTTTTAGATCGCTAATTACCTGAGTAAATATTATCAAATATTCTAACGATAACAATTTACAGGCCTATCGAGGGGTCAATACACTAAAAATTAACATATTGTTTCTTTTTAAGTTGTTTTAAAATATTACCTAATTCATATAAATAATTACAGCATTTCATTAATCTACACATATATAAAACTACTTATACGTAACTCATACATATCTGCTGGATTAAATTTAGTGAGACCTCTAATTTAACACCTAAGTGTCAATAAAGACAAAACGAAAAGGAACATAATTATGAAGAAAATAGAAACTGGAGTACCAAAAACAAAAATTTTAATTTTTTTTTGAGTAAAAAGTTTGGCATTATTATTTTATCGAACAATTAGTGTCTATGGGTGCAAAAATTTAAATAAAAAAAAAGGGCAACACTGGTTTAGCGCTTAATCAATGATCGCATGACCAAAAGACAGACTCAACCACAGGGTATGACTATAATTTGTCTGCCGGATTTTCTCTAGTAATTAGCGCCTTCTAAGCGCATGTTAATTCCTAGCCGGATTTTTATACTTTTATAGCGATTCATTGCACCTCGTTTTCACAATTTTGAAACTAAACTTTAATTGAGTTTAATTAAAGCGAAAAAATTTGTCAACTGGAAATTCCTGATGCATATATTTGATATGATTTCTTAAATTAATAATATTTTCATATAAAATTGTTGAATAATTTTGAATAGGACATCAGTTTCATCTAGCATTTGTTCGAGTTCGGTGAATAGACTATTTTGTCTGATCAATTAAAAATTTTTTAAAGAAAATGGAAATTAATGCAATTGTGGTGAGTGAAAAAAGGATAACAACATCTAACAAATATTCCTAAATAAGGTTCCATAGCGTTTATACTACAAATAAGAAAAATTGTTCTGAAGGACCTCAAATGCAAAAAATGTCATTGGAAAAAGTGACAAAAAGTGTTTGTGCTCTTCTAATAGAATTTGTCTCTTCCATCGATTCAGCTAATCGTTTGCATTGCTACCTGCATCCGGCTAACAATTGCGCGTCCCGATGTCAGTCTTGGCTATCAGTATCGCCCCGGTTACAGCAGCTCCGGTGGCAATTTATTGCAGACACCACACGTCACAAGCAGCAATTATTTTAGCCGAGTACCGAACTTTTCACAAAAAGGGGTAGGAGGCTCTGGAGGTTCCGGCAGCTTTGGTTACAATGAAAATAGTGGCGGTTCTTCCTACTCCTCTAGCGGTTATGGAGGCTTGTCAGACAGTTTTAGTGGAGCAGGCGATTTAGGCAGTTCAACAGCCGGCAATGGCTATCAAGCGGGTTACAACACTGGCAATATACACTATACTCAACAATCATCGAACTTCGTTGGCCGTGCGCCGATTGTGACCAAACACTTTTGGCTGCACTCCGCACCGGAGGATCAGGATGAACAGCAAATTGTGCGTTATATAAATATTGGACAACCACGCAAGAACTACAATGTTGTATTCATTAACACGCCTTCATCTGGTGTGAATAAGGCTAAAATTATCGCCAATGTTGCGCCAGTTGAAGATAAGACGGCTATTTATGTTTTGGCCAAGAAGGCGAACGCTTTGGATGTGAGCGCTGAGGTCGCTACACCAGCGCCAGTTGTCAATAAGCCAGAAGTGTTCTTTATTAAGTACAAAACACCTGAGGAAGCGCTACATGCGCAAGACACCATACAAGGTGAGTGACAAATTGAATACAATCATGTGATTTGCATAGTGAAAAACTCCTTTCTCCAATGCTTAGCTCAGTACGACGCTTTGGGCGGTTCCAGCGACGTCTCCAATGAAGGCTCTATTCCAGTATCGTCCGTCATCGGCAATTTGGGTGGTTCGGTTGGCAGTGGGGATAATCATGTTGAGGACTCGCATATAGTGCAGGCTGGACCATCAAGCAATAAGGCAATTCAGAATTATTTGCCACCGAATCACAAGTAAAATGTGATTAATAATTAAAGCTTTTATTTCACATTGTGAAAGCTCCGTAGCTATAAATGAAAGTTTAAATATGTTTGACGCTCACGTGGATTTGGAGAACTTGTTGTGGTGGATTGAAGCGCTATTTTAATTTACATTTACAAACTTAGGTGAAATTACTCTCATATATTTAATAATTTCGAAAAGTATTATCATTTTTATATTTTTTAATATTTTATATGCAGTTAGAATGATGGACAATAAAAGTGTTATTAAAAATAATCTTTGTAATTAGTGTTTTGTTTTCCTCCTCCATTTCTATTATAAGCGTTATCTCTCTATTGTGCATTTATGTTGGAGAGCAGCAGGAAAAGCAACATTGGCTAAAACAAATCCTCAGACTGTAAAACTATCAATACGGTACGAGTTGGAGGTAGCCCAACTGCTGCTGTCGAAGTGATGGACGATTTCATATTTCTTTGAACTGTCTTGGGAGACTAATATGAAATAGAGAACTCGCATAAAATCGATTAGCCGCTTACAACAGCTATCAGCAAAAAAGCTTCTCAAAAGCCTATTGTATTTAAAAAATAACGTCAGACGTCACATTTTTGACAAAGCATGCTGCTGTGTCATTTCGTTGTGCTTAACTTTACAAACAGAATTTATGGCAAAACTAAGTATATCGCATTGAAAAGAAGTATATTCTATTAGAAATGCATTATTTCTCCAATAAATGATATTAGTATTCTATAAAAAAAAAAAAACTTCTCAAACAGTTTTGTGATTGCTTGACTCAGTATTGTTAGGTTAACACGCTTCAAAAATTTTTTGCTGGTGAAAAATTCGACTCAAGAGAAGCTTGTGAACGAGGTTTTCTATGAGCATGAAATTACCTTCAGAATGCACAAAAAGTTGATACCCTAGATACCCTAGATCATCAGATTCAAACTATGCTGAATAAAATCTTCAATTTAATACAGAAATTATGGGTTTCTTTTTACTAGACCTATTTTTAAAATTTTAGAAGTTCGCAGCAATCAGTAGGTACTACTGCTTATTCCCATCTATGAAAGAGGCCTTGGTCAGCGGTCAAGGCACTTATTTAGACATTCCACGCAAAAAAATAAACATTAAAGAACCTGCAGACAGTAATGTTAAACAAAAACTTATGAAACGAAACAACGAGTATTTGGAATTTGTATTTCACAACTTTAATTAAAACTAGTAAAGTGTTATTAGGTTTCAAGCAGATGTCTAATGTGTTTCTAAATTAAAATGTAAATTGAAATAATTCAGATATAACTCACATATTTTATTACGATTTTTAAAGCATAGTAGTAGCAATATTACGTCAAGAGCCTAAAGTCAAATGCACATACCAAATAACAATAACAAAACTGAATTTTGACAATTCACAATTCAAGGTTTATGCAGCAACATAAAAATTCCAAAATCAAAATCAAATTAAATATTTAAACAAAATATTAAAATCGCTAAATAAAGACTTATCAAAAGGCAAAAGAAAATAGAAAAAAAAACACTAAACCAATACCAATAATACCGCCAACAATGCTAATGAAAACCAAAAAAAAATCAAAATATACCAAATTAAAAAACAACAAGTCGGACCTTAGGTGATTAACGCTAAGCGAGGCGCCAAATTTATTAGCTATTAAGTGTTGGATCAAATTACGCGCTCCAAGATAGACCCACGCACAAATATGTATGTGTAATTATCCGCCACTAAAATTCATAAAAATGGGCGAAAATCAATAACACCAAATAGCTGTAATAAAAATAAAGATAAAATTATAAACTGCTAAATTAATAATTTTCTTAAAATATCTCGTAGAATATATACATAAATGATGAGGCGCTGAAGCTAACCACAAACGCACTGAAATGTCGCACGGAGAAATAACAAACGATCAGCCAGAACTCGACCAAAGAGATCCTATCGCAGATATATTCACACTTTAACTCATCTATATCATGGCTATGATACACACACACACACACACACACTAACAACATTTCCATATTTGTACGCCAATGAACTCACTGATCTTTATCTGTTGACATCCGCGCGACAAGACGACAGCGCAAAAACAAAAATTTAAATATAATAGCAAAAATGCGAACAAGCCGTTAGGTGGAGGAAGGCGCCGCTGATATAATAATGGTAATAATAATAATACTTAGTATATTTTGCAACACTAGAATGACGAGTTCCTAACGCAAATGCCAACCAGTCTTCTTTCGGCTGCCGACAAGATCAGCACAGCGGTAGCGATCGTCAAGATCGTCAGGCGATGCAAAATTGGCAATAAAAGCCGAAGAGCTCTCTAATATTGTCAGCACCAATAAAATTTTACATAAATTTACGCTGTTTGCTCGCTAACGAAGGGCGCGCACTCGTGAAACTATGCAGAATGGCATCACCAGTGGTCGGTCATTATGAATTCCTAATTGAACATTATCATTTGTTAAATTTGACAATCGTAAATAAAATGCGACTAATATCTGAATTAAAGTCTTGCTTATACGATCTTTGCGAGCATCACAGCTCGGCAATGAATTGTGATAGCAATGAACACAGTGGGATCCTTTATAGAAAGATCGTTCAAAATAAAATGAAAGAAATAGAAAACAAATGAAATAACATATTATGTTATAATTGACCATAAGTATTGGGGAGGAGAAATGTTTTCCCATGAAGTTTACTTCATCTTTGTGAATAAATAAAACTTAGTTGGAATATTTGACCTAATCTTGGAGCGACAAAACGACCTATGCCAACCTTCTCACGTTAATTTTTGACCGCCTCTAGGAAACTGCAAACAAAACAGACCGCTCTGGAACCGTGGTTCACCAAATGGAAGATTTATATTAATACCGAAAAGAACATACAAGTGGTCTATACCATAGGTCACGAAATATGTGCGCAGGTGACCTTATATGGACAGCTGCTACCAACAAGCTGAAACGAAAATATCTGGAGCTTACAGTTGACAAGAGGCATACATGGAGAAACCAAGTGGAAGAGAACGCAGCTCAGGTTAAGGTTTGCACAGCTGCCTATAAGGCAATACTCAGACCAGCTTTGCAAAATAAAATTCTTCGCACTATAGTGGGTGCACCTTGAAATGTGAGTAACGACTTCCTCTATCGAGACCTAAAGATGCCCACTATAAAATAAACTATAGAAGAATTTAGTAAACGCTTCTTCTCGTGATTCATGATAATGTGCTTGCGATCCAACTGTTGGATCAACAACATTGATTATGTCAACAAATCTAGTTACTCCTATTAATAGTAAAACAGATTCTAAATATATTTGAATATTAAATAAAAAATAACAAATAAAAAAAAATTATTATTTAGCGTAACGACTTCATATTTTTACATTTTCCGGGGAATAATTTCACATTGATGTAAGAGATATAAATTTACTTTATTTTAATAACGATCAATTATAAATAATGCAACCGCGTTCGATTAACTCGACTCGATCGAGTAAATAAGTACAGAATAACCTGGAACGAAAAGACAATAAAAAGTCGCCCAAAAATATTTGACCTGTAGATAAGACCCAACTATCAATTATGAGTAGGATCCCAATTATATTGCTCATTTAACAATCGGTTCTATGTTACCAGAAGCAAATATAGCCTTAAAAACCTGATATTTTTGGGCATAAGCCTTTTTGTGTTTTGTGTGGATATACCATATTTGTTCCATACTTAGCACTCAAGTTCAAAATACCAATTATATTCTCATCTAACCTTATTCTAGCGAAGGGGTCTTCAAGCGATATCAAGTTCGGACGCAATGTGCATAAAGAATATATGTATATAAAACTTATTTTATTATATGCGAACCACCGTGCACTAAAAATTCGCCATTTCGGAGAAACACAAACATATTTGACGTAATAATAATAAGATGCTAATACTTTTCGGAGACTGCTAAAGAATTAAGTAGATAACTATTATCTATGACGCTTTTTCATGTGACCGCTCAGTGTACAAATAAATAATCAGATTACAACATAGGTCAAATAATCAATCAAAGAGTATATGAGACGCCCTGCCACGCACACGATCAACATGTAACACTGAATAAAAAATAAATAAAAAAATTAAATAAAAATTTAAATTAGGCACGAGCACATGTTGACACCGTACGTAAGAGCCGTGTATGTGTGTGTAAGCAGCTGCTTAAAAGCGGCAACTTCAAACGGCTAAGTGGGTTAATTCTCTAGTGCAATTAGTTGTAAATGATGTGTCAAATTGTTGATCGTAAAAATTCAACACATGCACACTCGACAATAAAATATAGTTATATGTATATACATATCTACAAATGGGATTAGTAATATGAGGAGTATATCCTTTAAGCTATAACACGCACAAACAATAGCCAGTAACGTCGCTCAAGAGATACATTCTTTTATATGAGATGCCGTACTAGTCAAACGGCTATAAATATATACAGACCTTATGTATGTATGTAGTAGCTTGCATAATTATGCAAATATTTCTAAGGCATTTCAAATTCAA